AGGAGGCAAAAGCTCTTTTTTGTTTCTAAACAGGCTTATTCCTCAGGACATCAGCTCAGAGACATTCTGTTTGTTAGCTAGTAGGAAAAATATAAAGGAAGATCATCTTCTTCCATAGGGTCTTCCAGGCAGTCCCACACACCCACTGAAGTTCTGGCAGGGAAGGAACCCCCATCCCTTGTAGGGCACAGCAGGAGAACACTCTGATTTATCTCTACAGGGTTTTAGTCTCATCTGTGAACTGTGGAAACTCAATACTGCTGGAGGGAATGTGGATTAGATCAAACTGGACCTCACCACCTCCACTGTCAGATCTCAGATTCCCTTCTTGGTGTTAAAGGTAAAAAATCTCCCAGCTACAAGAGAGTTTAATTATACTCCACACACTTGGTGCATTTTAATCAATGATGTGATCTCAGCTTACTCTGTGCTGAGTCCCAAGAATGTTTCTCCCAATAAATTGTGATGTAGAGGGTGTAAAACACAGCAAAAAGAGTCTGCACAATCCACAAAAACACAGAACAGCCACACCTGAAAAACCTTGGATCCAGCATGAGGAAGGAGAAATGCTGCAGGAAAGAATTAAAAACCTAGAAAATAGCAGGGAGAAGGTGACATCAGTTAACTTAAGCCATGTAGATAACAGAGATTGGCAGTGAATCTATTCCATGGGTTAAAAGTTACTTTAGAAGGTCAAGGATTGAAAATATTTGGAAAGAAAGGTTGCTCCACTCAAATGTTAAGGTTTTAGATGGATTTCCTCTCATGTTTTTCTGCTAATATTTACATTCCTGAAGAAAATCAAGTGCAGGAATAAAAAAAATAAACCAGGAGGGAAGTAGTTACAAAATAAAGTGTCTAAAGATAGTCAGCTTTGGTTCTGCTTTCAGCTGCTGCCATCTCGTGGTCTGCTCTCCCTCTCCTGGGCTCAGCACTTCCAGTGCTCCAAGGAGGAGCAGCCATTGCAAGGCCAGAACAAGACAGCATCAGGAAAGAAAGAACAAAATAAGGTTTTTCCATGGGTTCAGAGAAGCTCTGGCCACCAGTAGGTGTGAAACACTCCCACTTCTCTCCCCTCACTGTTACTCATTGCTGGCTGTGAATGGTGTTCTGCAGTAACAGGGCACAGAAATCTCATTTTGGAAGCACATTTTTGTTAGTACAGGCTTCTGAGTTACATTTCACCCAGGTTACCAGCAAGAGAAGTGCTGAGGGCTCAGCAAGTGCAGCAGCCCAAGGCAGCCAGGCCCAGCTTTACACTCCTCCAGTCCTGCTTGTGCTGAGCTTCACATGCAGAAATGCAGGGTGAAAAAAGAAGGATTTGTCTTAAGGCAGCTCTGGGATGAAATGAGGGCTCCCCCTCTATGGAAGGATCCTCTTCAGCAGGATCCCAACTGGCAAAGGGCAGCCACAGGCACTTCAGAGCATCTGGAAAATGAGATTAAAGACTTCTCCACAATCAAATTTGTGCAGGGCAACTGAACCCTGCACTTGTAAAGGGTTTTGGGCCATGGCCTGCACAACACAACTCAGAGAACTCTGCTGTCATGGCAAAAGCCACCAGCCCACCTCACCAGATACAGCCCTATCAATATATCTGCAATTACAAGTTTGAATTAATTCACCCAGAGGATGCACCTGCACAGAAAAATCACCTCATGTGAACTAAGGCAACATCCTGACAACAAAAATAAAACAGCTAAAGGGGAAAGAGCCTTGGCTGTGCACCTACAGCACCTCAATGTGAACATCCCCAAAGACTGCTGCTTTATTAACACAGAATAATGCCATTAATCCAAAAATATAAGGAAAAGGAGAACAAAGCCAAAATGTTTCTGACAAGGTCACCTCTAACTTAAACATCCTTATGATGAAGGTGATCTGAGCCCAGAGAAATATGCACCCTGATCCCTGCACAATTATGAGGCAATTAGTGAACCACAGATGGAGATGTTCCTCCACCAACACCCAGCTCAAATGCTTAGAGCTTGCTCATGTGCTAGAGGCAACCAATTCCAAAGCCATAATAAAACCCTTCTTGAAGACTATTTTTCAGCTGCAGCCTTTTTTAGCTCCTGCTCAAAATCCTCATTTCTCAGAAGAGAGAACAAATGTGGATTTCCCATCTCAAAAATTCTGCTTCATTAAGTATCTAATGTCGCCCATTTCCACAAGCCATCAAAAGAGGAGAAACATTTATAATATAAATATGAATGAGCTTGGCTAACAGGTTGCAATGATTGAGATGCACCATTTACAGAGGAATAGGATCCATCAGAAAAGATCCATCTGTATCCATTCCTTCCAGCAATCTTTGCTTTTTGATAGCCAATACTGATACACACATTTTACTTAAAAAGACCTTCCAGGCAGGACTGCATTCCAAGAAAAATAAATAAAATAAATATCAACTTGCACACAAATATCACTTATTTGGCAAACACAATTCAAGGTCATCAGGAAGTTTCACTTGGAGAAAGCAATGAGGTGGATGGTTTGCCCAGGAAGATGAACCTTAACTAGGGGTGGATAATTCCTGTGCTTTTGAAGGAATCACTGTGCCACAAAGGAAGGAAATTCCAAGAGGATCAACTTAACTAAAAGGTTAGTTAAGTTGAAATTTCTACTAAAATTTCTTTCTTCTAAAATTTCTTTTCCCGTTCTACTAAAATCACAACAGATTAAATATTGTATTAAATCACCAGCTCTAAGAGCATCAAGCCTTTGATAAAATCTCTCCCTGTGCAGTCTTAAAATGAAGAAATATTATGCCCCATCTACAGTAAAACCTGGGAAATAGAACAGCAGCTACAGAATCCTCTCCAAGCCTGCAGACCTGAAAACACACCCCAGGCTTCTCCTTCATCACCTGCACTCCTCCAAAGTGCATTTTCCTGCTGTGAACCCTCAGTTTTGGAAAGACCATTGATTACAACATGAGGCAGGTACAGTGACCCTGCACAGCTCCAGGAGAGCTGCCCCAGCCCACCCTCAGTACCACCAGCAGCTCAGGAGTTTTCCTAATGTTTTATTAAGAAGCCCTGTGCTACTTTTGGAGGTTTATTCAGCAAATGGAACACACATTGCCCTTTATTTCTCCTCTTCTCACCATTCTTTTAAGTCTATATTAAGTTAATGCACTTTTTAAATACATATCTATGCTCTCCTGTCAGCCAGTGGCTCATTTACCAAACCACTGAGATCAACAAGCACAAAGGGCAAGAAAACCTTGTTATTTCTCCTGAAGCAGCACATCTTTTCAGCCAGAACTCTTCACCTCACCTCCATGTGGCTGCAATCAGAATAAAACCAGAGCTGGGAGCATGGCTGGGAGAAGAGGAGGTTCTGTCCCTGAGCTCCTCTGCTGCCTGGGAGCTGCTGATCACCAGGGAACACTGAAGTGGAGCTAAAGGAGCCCAGGCCAGTCCCTTCAGAGGCTGCAAGGCACACCCCCCACACTGAACTGGAACAGCAGGTGTTTCAGCAGCCTCAGAGCTGCCTAGACAAAGAAAGCACCTTCAAGCAGTCATCAATATTCACACAGAAGCCTGGCATGAGAAAAAAAAAAATAAATCAGGGAGGCAGATAAAAAGAACAGCTTGTAAAAGAGCTGGATATCAGAGAAAAGAAGTGTCTGCATCTCCTGAGAGACACCACCACTCAGACTGCTGCCTGTGACAGTCAGACACCTTGAGTTTTACTGTCTCTACAGAGTCCTACAAAGAGCCATCAGCAGCCTTCACTCTGCTGCTAAAGGGGATGGCACCTCATCACCTGCACTTGGTTTATCTCAGGTGCCCAAAGACTACAGCAGGACAGAAATTCTGTGGTTTGACTCATGCACCACAGAAAGAGCTGCTAAACCTGCCCTAATAATGTGAGATTATTTCTTTAACCAGAGTCCATTCTCTAAAGGAGTTAAAAAAGTAGCAGTCACATTCTTAAACTCTGAGTAAAACTGAGCTGCAGAAGTTTTCTTCCCTGCTAAGGGTCAGGCTGATGTTGGTATGCTGCCTGGATTCCAGCAGGAAACAGAATTCAATTAAAGGATGATGCAGGGGGACACTTCAGTTCCTTGGCCACCACCTTTTAGTCACAAAATAATAGCAGGAGACACCTGGCTTGGACATGGACCCTTCATCAAGCATAATTAAATGCTGATTTAGTAGGTAATTTACTCATGTGAAATTCCTGGTCGTGATCTCCACCTCTCCTCTGACAACTCATTTAACTTTATTAAAACATTAGCATTGATTTTCTCCACTCATTACAAGCCAGTGAATTTATCTGCATTAACAAATTAATTCATCTAAACTCTTATTCCAGGAACAGCCAAAGCCTGCAGAAAAGCAAGAGCTGCAAGCTGTCACCAAGGCAGCAGCATCACATAATTCTTGCTCTTCTGACTCGCCTGGCCAAGAAGTTAAAACAGGCAAAAGCCCAAAAAAGATCAAACAACAGAAGATACTCCCTGTTTTCTGAGGCAACAACCAAATCTATCCAAAATCATCCCAGAACCTTTCACATTTGTGATTTCCAAACAACACAAACTCAAGCATGTGGCATTCACATTCCCTGAACATGATTCCTTCACTCAGAGTTTTTCTCCTGGGAAGCTGAAAGGCAGCAAGAGAAGCCTCAAAGAAAAGGGAAACAATTCTTATCTCATTTGCTTCTCCTGTGTTGTGCTCATGTGTTTGGAGATTGGTTACCCACAGGTGATTGCTTGATTGGATTCTGGTGTGAAGTTGTTTTGACTCTTTGGCCAATCAGGGACTCTGGAAAGAGTCGCGAGTTTTCATTATTATCTTTTTAGCATTCACAAAGTATCTTTTCTGTACTCTTTAGTATAGTATAGTATTCTTTAATATAATATAGTATAATAAAGTAATAAATTAGCCTCCTGAGAACATGGAGTCAGAGGCATCTGAGAACATGGAGTAAGACGCATCCCTGTAAATGGAAATTTACAATACAGCAGCGTGCTGGGAACACCTTACCATGGGATTGGAGTCTGCAATCAGATCCCGCAGGGAATCCAGGAACCCTTGGTCCTCCACCATCTGGGCATTGATGTCGTGGAGCTTGGCCACACAGACAGCTGCAGTTTTCCTCACGTAGGGGTCCTCATCCTTCAGGCACTTGCGCAGGGGCTCGCACAGGTACTCGGTGATCTTGTCCACGCGGATGCAGCCCATGGTGCGCACGGCCAGCGCCCGGATCAGCGGGTTTGGGTCCTCACAGTCCTGCAGCACAGCACAGAAACATCTGCAGCACATCTGCACCACCACACAAACACAGCTGCAGCAGCAGATTCCCTGCAGCCAGGCTGCTCTTACTTAAGCAGCATCTCTCTGATTGAATGCTAAGTGTCAGAACCCAGGAAATTCTTCTGATCTTGACACCCTGCCCAGGGGCTCAGAGCCCAAGATCCCTTAGCCTTTGATTTAGTCCTTGGAAAAAACAATTACCAACCTTTATAGGAAGAATTATAAGTCAAGGAAGTTTAAGTAGAATAATAGTTAGTTTGTTATGGGATGGAAAATAGATTTTTGAGGTTTTTAGAATGGGGGCTCGGGGTCCCAAGATGGAGGAATTTGGGTGTGCCTTGTCCTTTTTCCTTGTTCTTCCCAGTCTCCATGTTCTGGGTGATGTTGGTATTTTTAGATGAGTTTAGAGTAGAAGCTCACTGTCTAACATAGGTGATAGGTATTGGGAAGTTCTGGTAAATATTGTATAAGTAGTTTTTAGTCTAAAAGATAACACCAGTGTGCTTTGACCCGACCTGTCAGACAGACCTTGGAGGGTCAGAGAAAGAATTTTATAGATAAGAAACAATAAACAACCTTGAGAATGAGAACAGAAGAGTTCTGACTCCTTCTTTGACTGCTGGGCTGGGAAAAGAGACTTTCTAACACACCTCAGAGTCACTCTGACCAGCGGAGATTCCAAGAGCTAAGAGCCAGGCAATTGCTTCAGATCAGGAGTAAAAGGGCACTTGTTGCTTCACAGAAATATTTCACTCTGTCTTGAGATGTTTCCTGTCCCTTTATTCTCCCAGCAAAGCTGCTTTTAACATGATCCAACAGCTAAGCTGGAGAGGCAGCTCTCAGCACCCAAAATCTCACCACAAAGTAATTTACTGATTTCCAACCTCTCTGGTTTAAAGGAGCAAGAAATAAAATGGGGAAAACCAACAACTAGGCACAATGCAACAGTCATCAAGGCCTATTTCTTAAAGGCCAAACACAAACACCCCTTAAGCTACAACACATGGAGCACTAAGCAAAGGCCACTCTAGAGGGGCTTTTCTAAATAGGAAAAAGAAAAGGCAGACAGGAATACAACATTTCCTACTCCAAGCCTACATCATTTTCCATGCATCCAATCCATCTACAGCTCCTCCAAAATCAGCCTGTAAAAGGATGGCTACAGAATGACCTACAAAAGCATTAACCTTGCACTGTTCAAATTTCCTGCAGCTGAAAAATTAATTTTAAGCCTGCAAGAGAAGTGACACATCCTACCAGAGCATTCCCCACCTTGAACCGGGAAGTGCTGAGTTAGTGCAGACCAATGTCAGCACTTGCTCTTCACTAACATCTGTCCCTCAAGCTGCCAAAAGGGACACCAGGCCTCCCTCTGCAGGGTGGGAGATGGAAAATATCATTTTGTAACTCTATTCTAACAGAATTGCACTTTAAAGGCAGACAATATTCTTTCCAGAGAGGAAGACAGAGACATCCTCTCTTGCCAGAAGAGCAGATCTCTCAGTTTAGGTGCCCTCACCTCCTTCTGCCTCAAGAATCACAAAAGAAACTTTGGAACTCAATCTCATTCCCAAGTGTCTCATATTTTATAACACTCAAACTTCTTCTAAGCACTGGGTTTTCTCTTGCACAACATGGGACTGGAATAACATTTCCTAGATAGGGAGAGGCAACCTGACAAGAGAACTAAAGGCAAGCCAGCAATCAGGCTGTTGTTTTTCCAGTGAACTGTCTCTCAGTTTCACCAGAGATAAAGGTTTGCCACACAGAGCACAGCTGGAACATTCAAACAGGAAGTTTGATATTCATGTCTCAGATACTACAAAGGCTGGAAGATGAAACAGATAAAATCTGTTTTCCAGTACCAGAAGTTGGTAAAACAACAGAAGCAGCTTTCCCCAGAGCAGGTTCACTCACAGCCACTCACAGAGCTGCTGAAGTCATCTCCTCTGCAATAACCAGAAGGAACAACTGAGAAAGGACTCAGATCTGGTGGACTCAGCACCCTCCTCTATGAGCCCAGCCCCAAAGCAGAGATAAAGCTCCCAAAGGACAAAGATGTGCTGGCAGGCACTGTGCTGGCCCCTTTCCTGATGTGCCAGGGGAGCAGGTTACCTTCACAAAGCTGTTGACAGCCATGATGGCCATGTCTGGCTGGCTTTTGGCATAGTTCATCAGGTACAGGTAGACCAGCTTCTTCAGCTCCAGGTTGTCAGTCTGCATGCAGTTGACAACATCAGGGAACAGAGAGCTGGATACACAAGGATGGAATCAGAGAATTGTTTAGGTTAGGAAATGCCAGCAGTTCCCCCAGCACTGCCACAACCACATCCCCAAGTGCAACATCTGAACACCTTCTAAAACTCTCCCAGGGATGGTGACTCCACCTCTGCCTGTTTCAGTCCCAGCTGAACCTCCCTGGCACAATTGGAGGTTATTTCCTCTCATTGTCACCTGGGAGAAGGGACTGACCCCAGCTGCACCCTCCTGGCAGGGAGTTCAGAGAGTGACAATGTCCCCCTTGAGCCTCCTTTTCTCCAGACTGAGCCCCCCACCAAAGCTGCTCCTCATCAGAGCTGTGCTCCAGCCATCCCCTCCTCTGGACATGCTCCAGCCCCCCAATGTCCTTCTTGTCATGAGGGGCCCCAAAGTGGCCCAGGATTTGAGGAGTGGCCTGAGCAGTGCCCAGCACAGCAGGACAATCACTGCCCTGCTCCTGATACAGGCAGGTGCCACTGGCTCTCTTGGCACACAGCAGCTCATGTTCAGCCACAGCTGACCAGCATCCCTGGTCCTTTTCCATCTTTCCAGCTGCTCTTCCTCATTCCTGGAGTGTTCCAGGGTTGCTGTGACCTGAACTCACACCTCTGGTCTCAGCCCATGCACTGAGCCTGCCCAGATCCCCCTGCAGAGCATTCCTGCCCTCCAGCACATCCACATTCCCACTCACAAAATAAAAACCAGAGCTTGCATGGCATGCAAAGGGGATAGTAACAATATCAAGGAAGCCAGAAAAGCAGGAGTTCCACTTTAAGCACCCTGCTGTTTAATGAAAGGTCACCTTCCCCTTCAAAGCAGTTTGCAATGGCTTTTAGAATAATAATTTAATCTCTTGTACAGCTTTAACATAGGAGGAGGTGAAAATGCCATTTCCTAAATATGTTTTAACTAAGGAGTTCACCAAAGAAGGAAATTCTACCATGCCAGGCCTGGAAATGAACCCACAAGAGGAAAAATGTTGCTTTAAAATGTTTTGGTCATGCAGGACACTTATGAAGAACCAAATTCCAGACTAGCAAAGTCCAGAGTGCTCAGAAGCTTAAACACTGTCAAGCTGAGCTTCACTCAAATGTCAAGCAGCCATCTGCAAACAGCACTGCAGAATAACACAGGAAGTTACACAAAGATTCTGCAGCTCCCAGGTTTGCTGTGGGGATCTGAAGGTGATGGGTAAATGCTGCTGGCAGAAAAGATTAGGGTTTTTTTTTCCCTTTCAGTTTATGTGTTCCTTCATTCTATGATGAAGTCATGATGCTGAATTTGCAAGCTTATATTGATTTCCGTGGCAACAGACCAGGCTGCTGTGAATCCAGAATCCCTGACTGAATCCAGAATCACTGACTGAATCCAGAATCACTGACTGAATCCAGAATCCCTGATTCTCTGCTGGGCTCCAGGAACAGGAGGGAGAAAGGCAGAAAGCATTCATCCCAACAGGTTTTCCTGCTTTTCTCAGAAAACAGTACTGGGGACAGTAAATGCCAGTGTCCTTCAGCTGCACTAAGACACAGGTTCAATTTTAACATCAGCCGTTTTAAAATGCACCTTAAATTTATGCTGTGCCAGATAAGGCTAAGAAAAACTTGGAATTATCTTTCTAACATGAAAACCCAGGACAGCAAGCAGCAAGAAAACGTCACTCAAAGTGCCATACAAAATGGCTGAATTCTGGGTGTGCTTTAAATGAAAAAGGCTTTATCCACACTGAAAACAGTTGTTTCTCTTGCTTTCAGTGACAGCAAGGAGTTTGAGACACCTGGGACTGAGGCACAGCCATCCTCAGCTGTTCCAGGGACATGTGCCACCACAGCTGAGTCCCAGGACAAGCTGAGGTGCAAATTGCTTTTACCTGACATCCTTCCCCACAGTCATGGCTGCAATAACCTTCTTTACAGCTTCTTTCCTCTTCTCTTTCTTTTCATTGTTGAGTTCAGCCTTCAGCTCAAAAATCTCTCCTGGCAGAAGGAAGAAAAAACAACAGATTAAACCTCTCAGGAGAAGAAAAGGGTCTTGTTTTAGGGGTAATTCAAGAGTGAATTTTTGCTTTCTTGGCCTTTTATGGGAATCATAAAACTGGCCCAGCTGCACTTGGAAGCTGTCAGACCTTGTGCAGAACATGGCTCACTGAGAAGCAAAGCTGCAACACTCAAGGGACTGATATGACTCCACCTTGCAGAGGAAAATGCCACAAACAAGAACCAAGCTGTGTGTGGCAGCTCTCCCACCTCCAGGACACCAAACCACATCCCTGGAGCATCTGTTTCTCTGAGGCAACCATTACATAAGCAGCATGAAAAGATACTTGGAGATGCCAGATTCGTGCCTGTAAGAAACAAACTAAGCTAGGAATTTTGCCCAGACTTTTTTTAAGTTTTGCTCATCATTGAAAGCTTCCTCAGAAAGCTGGAGCGGAGCCCAAATGCTGTGGGTTCCTGAAACAGGACAGCATGTGTTTAGTCCAGTGGAAAAAAGCTCAAAAGACAGAGCTACCACTAAGAAAAGCTGCATGTAACACAGCCTGTCTGGATTCCAAGGCTCCCAAAGCAGCATTAATTCCTCCAGATATGGCTGTGTGGAAAGCCAGGTCAGGCTGGGTCACCAAAGTGGCAATCAAGTTATAAAATAAAAAACAACATGTGCAAAAGGCTGTTTATCAGGCTTGTTCCAGACAGAGCCAGTGGTGTGAGAAGGATAATGCTCCCAACAGACAGACAGACAGCTTTCCTCAGGAAGGACAGCCAGCAGCATTCCCACTGGGAGCCACAGCCTGAGCACATGATAAAATATCCAAATATCCCTGACAAGTTCTAGCACCAACTTTCCATTCCTACACTTGCTCAGAGCAGCAGTACTAATTAAAATCTGACACACAGAGACTGCCAGGGACTCCACAAAAGAAGAGAAGCTGCTGCAGTGCAGAGACCACTCGTCATCCCTCTGCCTGAGGAAGAGCCTGGCATTACTCACCCAGAGCTCCTGCCCTGGAGCAGAGCTGAGGCAGCTCCAGCTCTCCCCCAGCCAGCCCACAAAAACCTGCCTTCAGCTCTGAACTTCCAGAGCTGCTCCTCTGAAAGATGTCAACTGCATTAGGTTCATTTATGAGCTCATTGTGAAGCTTAATGACACATAAATAGATCAACAGTGTGGGTTTTTGCACTGGCAGGCATTCAGAGGGAGCACTCAGCCATTCTGCAAAGGAGAGGTTAATGCAAACCATTTTCCACATCTGCTGGAGAATGATCAGGCTTAAATTGCACTCAGCAACGGTGTTTTGTTCAAGAACTGGTTAGAAAATCTGCCTGGGACAGCCTCAGCAGAACAAGCCTGTGATGGTGCTCACAGGGGTCTCATGTTGAAGGAAGAGACAAGGATTTTGACTCCGTATTTCAGGAGGCTTGATTTATTATTTTATAATATATATTACATTAAAACTATACTAAAAGAATAGAAGAAAAGGTTTCATCTCAGAAGGCTAGCTAAGCTGAGAATAGAAAGGAATGAATAACAAAGGTTTGTGGCTTGGACAGAGAGTCTGAGCCAGCTGACTGTGACTGGCCATTAATTAGAAACAACCACATGAAACCAATCCCAGATGCACCTGTTGCATTCCACAGCAGCAGATAATCAATGTTTACATTTTGTTCTTGAGGCCTCACAGCTTCTCAGGAGGAAAAATCCTAAGGAAAGGATTTTCATGAAAAGATGTCTGTGACACAAGCCCTGCCCTGAAGCAGTTAAATGAGTAAAGTGATCCCAAAAAGCCCTTCCAGGATTCCCATTTTTAAGGGCAGCAGCTTGTCCTGAGGTGAGGTAACCACCACACCTGCAGTAAAGGCAGAGGAAAGTCAAACAGTTCACCTGCAGCTTTGGAGAAAATGGCAGCAGGAAAATCCATTATGTTTGCTTGATGTATATATCCAATATATTAAATTCCTCATATCAACCTAATCCTGTGATGCCCAAATTAACAACCACCCCTAGTTTGGCACTTGTTGGCCCATAACCAGAACTTTGCCTCTGCACTCAAATCCCATTGCTTTGCTTTCTGCTCCTTGAAAGAGCAGCAATTTGGGTCATTTTGTGAATCACAAAAACGTGTAATACCCCAGTTTTGTCTTTTGTCACCATGTGACCTACTTTGGAAGTTTCTCCCTGGATGATTAAGAAGAGAAACAGGGACAGAGCTACCAGAAAAGCACCAGTTCTCCTGCATGCAGTTAAAAAAGCTGTGTAAAAATAACCACCCACCACCTCCAATCCACTGCAGCAGCTCAACACCAACCTTTTTTATTGGTCGTGAAGTATTTGGAGTCCGTCATGGTTCCAGCTCCTTAAAACACCTGAGAATATGAGGAAGAAAAAAAGAACAAATCAGCTCCAAATGCAGTTTGGTGGCAACAGCCAGTTTGTGAGGCAGGAACTCGAGCAAAGATGGTTGGTGAGTGAAGGAGGAAGCAAAAACTTCACATCCACAGGCACGAGTTCCCCAATCTTCATCCTGCACCTGCTGGTTTTACTTGGCAAAGCAGGGATTTAAATGGCTTGCTAAAAACACAACAGTGCTGCTCAGCCCAGCTTCCTAAATTCTCAGTCTCAGCAGGCAAAAGGTATTTTTTGAACTCCTTATAGCCAGCAGATGCTGGTGTGCTGTGCAGCTGCCTTTCCTGGGTACACAGATTCATTTTCCAAGGAAAAGCACATCCAGTGTCTCGCCTGGCAGGGAGAAGTGCATGTTTCAGACAAAGGAAACTGTCATCTCATCTCCCCCTAACGATATCTGCCTGTGCTGCATCTCATGGAAGGCACAATTAACCCCACTTGCAGCACCCACCCCCAGGCCTTTCATTCCTTTCCCTCCTTTTGTTCCCTGCAGATGCAAAACAATGTTTTTTTCTGAAAAGAGAAACCATTACTTTTCAGTTTTTTCAAGCTTGAAACTGAAATATTTCTGTGCCAAGATCTGACATCCCACCTCTGAGACACACACACACAGCTCATTATTTCTGTGCTGCTCTGCTTTTTTGGTTCTTTTTTTTGTGTGGACAGGATGGAAAAATGCTGTTGGAGCAGCAAATGCTCAGCAGAGCCACAAGAGTGGTCTCACCAGTACCACAGAACTAAATGAATGCCTTGGAATGCATGGATTGCCCAAACATATGTGGATATCCGTCATTTTATTCTTACAATTGCTAGCTCTGTGACAAATGGAAACAATTTTCAAAACAAGCAGAGAAGTGGGCACTTTTACTGCTTTTGATGAAAGGCTGTATCAATGCTAGGAACTATGACCCTAAAACCATCTCAAAAAGAAAAAGGAGGAAAGAAATTATAAAATCCTATCTTTTTGGCCCCAATTCCCCTCTTCTTACACATCCTTCCATGACCTTAAAGGCTGCCAGCAAAGCAGTAAATCATGTTCCCTAAATGCTGCCTGTCTTGCCTCTAAGCCCTGCAGGTCTTGCTGGCTCAGCAGCAAAAGGACCAGCACAGCTCTGAACTCCAGGGCTGCCCAGCAGTGCAATCAAACTGCTCTTCCTTAACCCTTTCCTCCCTCATCCCTTCACCAACCCCAATGCCATCACCTTTCCACATTCCCACATCCACCTGGACCAGCTGAACACCCCAGCAGTTGAATTCCCAGCAGTTGAATTCCCAGCAGTGCCCCAATTTCCACCTTTTTTCCATGGGATAATCCTGTCCAGCTGCCAAACATCTGGATGGGGATCAACCTGTTGCTTTTCCCAGTTTCCTTGTGCTGCTGCCTGCTCTGTTTCCACCTCATCCAATTAGGCTGAATGACTGGGTTTGCTTTGATTTCTCTCCCTTTCTGCTCCTGCCAAGCCTGGGGACAGCTCTGGAAACACATTCCTCGTGCAGAGGAGGTTTTAACCTCCTTCCAAAACAGAGAAAGCCACAATGAGTGCAATTTTCCCAGCAAAAAAAAAATCTCACAGCCCCTCCCTGAAAGCAGAGGCTGCTGTGGAGCTTGTTTTGTAATTAAAATCAGAGTCTGTGTTCAGCTGCAACATTATTGCTGACAGAGTCCTTCGGGTTTGAGCTCAGCTTAAAAGGAAGACTTAAATAAAATGTTTTTCTCTGCCAGAGAATTTGGCACAGGGCCATGCACAAAGCACTGAACGTGGCCTCGATGTTCTTTGTTTGCATTATGTGGGGATTTGTCAGCCAGGGTCACATCTCAGCTGAGCTACTCTAATACAGCTTTAACTGGGGCCACAGCAGCAGATTAGGGAGAAATTGGAAGGGGGGAGGAAAAAACCCAACCCAAACACCACAAACATCAGCCCAGCTGAATAAAGCTACACACAGAGAGGAAGGAACCCTGCTGGATTTCAGAGATGGTCATTAAACCCCAAGGGCAGCACATTATGTTGTTTTTCTCCTTTCAGATATTGTTGTTTTTCTCCTTTCATTTACTTGGAAACGTGAAAAATCCTAGAAACACTCAGGCAGGGCCAAGCACAGCTCATGGCTCCTCTGATGGAGGTAAATGAGAGCTGCCTTAGGTGAATAACCAACCTGCCCTACTCCATGTGCAGCACAGGAAAAAGCTGCTTTTCTCACCAGCACACAGATTGCTGCTTCATGTGTGTCAGAGCTTGCTTTGCACACTGTTCAGAGACAGCCTGCCAGCAGCACTGGGCATTATCTCATCACCAACAACCCCAGTGTGCTTCACAGCAAATGGAAGCAGATATTTCAAACACTGCACAAAATGCCACCTCCTTGTAAATCTCAAACCAAAGAGAGCCAAGGGAAATTAGAACATCATGAGCAGCCTTGTATTTTCACAAGAAAAATCTGCTTTAGACTGCCCCCTCCTCACTAGAGATGGAAACAGGTAAGAGGTGCTCAGAGCTGACAGCAAAAGGCTCCTCCTGATCCAACCCAGCAAATGAGGAGAGATGAGAGGGAGGAATGGCTCCAGAAAGCTCCAGCAATGCTCAGTGCTACCAACAGTGGCTTGGCATTTCACTGCAGACTGAACCAAAGCAGGAAAAGCCTCCTCAGCCCAAACCCACACAGAAAACCTGACCCTGTGTCTGAGCAACACCTGCCTGACCCCACACACGACTCCAGTCAGCCTGAGCTGCTCCCCAGCACTGATCCCACACAGGATGGGGGCAGGTTTAAGGGCCTTGGGATTAAGGCAAGCTCCTGGACACTGAAACCATCAATCCCTAAATCTCTCCAGTGATCCCTGGTTTAGCTCCAGTGGAAGTAGTGCCACCCATTTTTCCTGGAAAGCCTCTCAAGGAGCTGTGTGACAGCCCAAGCGTGGCCCAGGGCCACTGGAGAGCCAGGGAGACAAACAGAACAATGGAACGTGGATGGCAGAGGGAGAGCTGGGCCTGCAGCCCTGAACTTGTGCTGGCACGAGGATTTTGTTCCCATCCTGGGGACCAATCACCCCCATTCCATGGAAGTCCCAGCCCCTCCCACAGCTCCAGCAGGACTCCCAGCACCCACCCACCCTCCACTGGCATCCCAGTACCCCCCTCAAGCCCCCTGCCCACCAGCCCTTCCTCCTCAGCACCATTGCCCAGATTTCTCCCAGTATCCCCCAGTCACAGCAGCATTCCCCACAAATCCCAGTTCCCCTCCCCAGCACTCCCAGTCCCTCTCAGCACCCAGCCCTAATCCCTGCCTGCCCCCACCAGTATCCCAGCACCTTGCTATGCTCATTCCCATCCCACCAGGCCCATCCCAGTCCAATCCCTTACTCCAGACCAGTGCCTCCTTCCAGGACCTACTGACCCCACTGCTCTCACCCCTCCATCTCCTCCACAACCATCTGCCCAGTCCTTCCAGTGGCCTCTTCCAGTACATCACCAGAGCCACTGCCAGTGCCTCACCAGTGATTCTCCCACCCCATCCCAGTTCCCACCTCCCAGTAACCCCTCCCAATGCCCCTTCCCACCTTATCCCAGGTGTCCCTCTCAGTGCCCTCTCCCAATGGCACCTCCCACCCTATCCCAGTTCCCTTTTCCAGTACCCCTCACCTCTCCCAGAGCCCCCTCCCAATG